ACGTGGCCATCTGGTAGGAGCTGTACCATAAGTTATCTCAGCTGAGCTGCAGGCTTGATCTTGAAAAAGGGGGTGCCCAAAAATCGACCCAGGATCTGTTTACGGTAAAATACCCCAAATGTCCCCTTCTGGGCCTCCAAATATGCGATACGCAGCCCATTCCCTGTCTGTGGTTCATGAGCCCACCGGGCCCAGCGCCTCGCCGAGCTGGGCCGAGTTTCAGAAGGTGGAGCCTTCGATGATTCTTAGAACACTTTTCCTCCGTGGCCACCAACAGGACCACGGATCTTTGGGAAATCGGGGAAATAATGTTGACGGTGTTGGCCGACATGAATGGCGAGCGGTGTCTGCGTGTGGGTTTGGAAGGTGACGCCGGAGGCACCGGCAGCCCAGCCAGCCGGCCTCCAGTTCTCATCGAGACTGAGGACGAGGCGCCTCCAGCCCGGTCCCTGCTCAGGGTGGAGGCATCTACTCCAAGGAATTCCAGGCCCCGGGCCTAACAGGCTGAGGTCTGAAAAACCCTCACCTCTCCTTCCATAAAGAGAAAAGCGGAGCGTGAGTTCACTTTTACAAATCAGCGTCTTACTGGTGAGAAAGAGAGGTTTCCATTGAAGTAGCATTTTATACTCTTTGCCAAATTAGAGTCATGTCTTTTGATATGATTCAATTTTTTTTTTAATACGAAGCACTTGCAATAATTACATCTTTTCTATGTTAATTTTGCTACTCTCTGAGCATGGCCCTCTGCTGGCATGGGCATAGCTCGCTGACAGTGCCACCCAAATTTCATTGTATTAAAATATGTTAATGCTCTCACTCAAGAGCATTAAAAAAAAACAACTCAAAAAAACCTGGTTATAATACAACACCAACAATTATTTTTGTCTATAAGACTATAGGCAGAAATATATATATTGTATGTAGTACATGCATGTGCAAGAACACGTGATTATATCAACATATGCTCAGCAGGAGTGAAGCTTTAAAGTCTTTAGGTAAATAAATAACTGAATTAGGACTATTCTAATATCCGACACATGAGAATCTTGATACATCCTGACATAAGGTATCATTGGTTGTCTTTGTGTATCTACTGCGTTTGCCCTGCCATTTCAGATAAATCATTACCATTGTGTAAGGAGGGGAAACTGGACTATAGCAAATCGTTGTTCCCGCTTGTGCCCTGAAAAACCATTTGTTCTGGGGTTGGCCTTACGTAGCTCGGCTGTTTCAATCGGATCCATTATCCCCTTTCCTTTGAAAGATGCCTTTTTAGGAACGTGTATCCGCCCCCCACGGTGGGCAGCGTCTTGTCTTGTTTTTGGAAAGTAGGTGAAATTTAAGTCCAACTGTTCCTTCGTTTTTGATCTCTGATAAAACAATTGCATAACCCAGCCCCAGGCAGAGAGCTCCCTGGACGTGGGGAGAACCGTCTATGGAGAAACGATGGCGTCAGGCCCAGGAATTTCTCAGTTATTTATTAGTCCGCTGTCGTCCTACCCATAGAATGTCGCCGGACCCGTGGAGCGTGTTTTTTCCTGAGTAGAGCGCGTCCGTCCCGCGAGTGCTGCACTTTTCTCAGCCACAGAAGCAGGACGGCAGAGAAAACAAAACACCCCTCACGTGCTTTCAAACGAGCGCACGGTCCACCGGCAGCACCCACCTCCTTCATGTGTGTGGGGAGCGAAAATAGTGCTTCCCGAGGACAGAGGCCTCGAAAATCCTTTCAACGCTAATCCCTGTGCAAGAAAGGAGTGTGCAGGGCAAACTGCAAGATGAAGGAAACAATGTATCTAATACTTGGCAGGGGGGGCGAGTACACTCAGCTATTCTTTATCAACTAAGAATAATTTAAGGTACAAATTAAAAATTGGTCATCAAGAGATACTATGTATACACATAGGTGCCCTATATTTATACCTCAGATAGAGCAATATGTTTCGGTAAAATTACAAAGCCCTGTTCTATCTGAGTTAAGGGAAGTGAAATAATGCACTTAAATCTACATGTTAAAAATCCGAGCACTTTCGTAGAGAACTGTTCAGCGTGAGACCCATACAATAGGCTTGAAAATAACCACGAACACCGCCATCCCAGCGCATGAGATTTTAGCCCAGATACCTCCTACCCCAGAGTCCATGAGACAAACATTACTTTTAAAGCCTGTATGTAGAATCTCTCCTTAGGCGGTCAGTTCATAGCAAACATGGTCGCAAAAATTTAAATGGCAAGTAAGAGTCACCAAGCCGCACGCACGCATCCCTACGGCAGCGTTTTTATCCAAGGGGTTTCAAAGAGCTCACAGTCTCTACCTCCTGTTCGTGCCACTGAAATCCAGCCGCCTCGGAAATGTCCCACCTGCATGTTAATAGGTCTCCCTAGAACCAGCAAACTCCGCCCGACGACACGCATCTGGATAAAGGGGCCCAGGCTGACCAGCGAACACATTCTCCAGGAGATGGCCACACATAAAGCAGCCCGGTTTCTGTGGGGGTCGGTTCGCCCCACAAACACGTGGGCTTCCTGTGGGCGCACACCCAGCAGGCGCCGGCGGTGGGTGACTTGCACACACTGCCCACAAAGGCGAAATTTTATATGGGATGACATCACCCAGCGAACCTGGGTTTCTCTGTGGCACAATGATATTCTTGCCTGGCTGAGTGTGTCTCCCGAGTGCAACTGTGTGTGTGTGTGTGTGTGAGAGAGAGAGATGCTTAGAAAAGCGGCACCATCAGAAATAGCCCAACCTTCCTCAAGGTTTGCAAAAAAATCTTTCCACAGACCTTCGACTTTTTCCAGCTCTCAAACGGCTCAAGTTCATCAAGAATGCACTTCCCCGCACAAGCAAATCCTGTTGCCCTTTCGTGGGCCCACTGCGGATCCTAAAACGTGCCCGGGGGGGTCTGTGGGGCCGAGATCCCTCGGCCCAGGCAGGCAGGCGTGGGCATCTTACAAGGCGCAGGGCCCCCCTGAGACCTGCCTGGGGCGGAGAGGGAGTCTCGGTTTTCAAGGCCATGAAAGGGTTAACCCGGGGCTGTCTGGGGCAGGAGAAAGGGGATATTGTCGTCTTTAATCTTTCCGCAGTCGGGGCAGGACTTCCACTCCTTCTGCGCGGAGCAGGGCGAGGGACCGGGCGGGCTTCGCGTGCAAGCTCCCCGACGGTGGGGTGGGGGGCCTGGCGGGAGGCCAGACGGGCGGGAGCTCTGGGGATCCCAGTGTCTGGCCCTCAGGTGTCTGGGAGCCTCGGGGGCGGCGGTGGGGGAGGTGGAGATACCGTGAGAGCAGACAAAGAAAAAAAAAATGGTGTATTTCACAAAGATTCTGGGGAAATGTGTGTCCGGGTGCTGTTTGCAAAAGAAAAAAAAAAAAAAAATCCTAACGTCTTGGAGTTTTATAATTAGAAGCCCAGCCCTGCCCTGGGCAGACCTCTCGAAGCCATAATTAGTTATGTCTGGAGCCTCGTAATAATTCCTTTCAATAATTGATGGAGCTCATAGCCTCCTCTTAAAATGCGAGCAGGGCAGTGCTGCCTTCCGGACTCTCTCTCCCTGGGACCTTTGTGGCTCGAAATCTTCATCAGTCAAAAATCACACCGAGCCGATTTGCCTTTTTAATTTCTTACGGGACTCAGCTCCTAACTTTTGAGGGTTTTTGGATGATTCCAGCAGTAAAGGCACAATGCAGGGCTGGATCCCGCTGGCTGGACCTCGAAAGGAAGCAATGGGGTTCCCTGTTTGTTTCCAAATATTTTACACATAAAAAAAAAAAAAAAAAAAA